CATCTGCAATTGCGGATGTCTATGGGCAGCGGTCGCTTCGCCAATTTGGTGGATTTAGGTGACCGCTTGCTCGTTTGCCAACTTATGTTATAAAAAAAATGCTTTAATGTCCAGTTAAGTAACGTTACTGTAACTTACAGGGATAGTCGCGTCAGTGCTGATCGCAATAATATTGATTGTGATCATCGTGCTTAAATACTATGTGTTCAAGATCGATAACTCGTACAAAGTGACTGAGGATAAGAATTATCAGCAAGGTGCCAGCGCAGCCTTGCTCGGCAATCAGGTGAGGAAACACGATTTTAAAGATATTTGCAAAAAAAAAATATAGAGTGCTTTTGATGTGTTGATGGGAAAGTAAATTAGCTCACCAAATTTTAAGTCGCAAGCCCGTAGAAATCTTATTCGTCATTCATACTAACGTCTCTGTATTATTAGTATTTTTATAGTCTGACTAGCTTTTACCTGCGATTCCGTTCCCGTGGAATAAAAAAGTGGGTAGCCTGTGCTTTACACGACTATATAGAGGAACATAAATTTCATTGAGATCCGTTTAGCAGTTGACTACGAACTCTGACAAAGATCCATCCATTTAAACTTTCGTATTTATTATATACTAGCTTTTTTCCGCGACTCTGTCCGTAATTAGATAAAAAAACAAAAGAAAGCTTATTTGTTCTTCCAGACAATGCATCTATGACAAATTTCATCGAGATTCACTTATTCATTTAGACTACTTTTACTCTAACAAACATGGATGTTTGTTAGTTTGTAGTAGTGTGTAGTATCCAACCAAACTTTCGCATTTATAATACCTATCCACTATCACCCATGGCCCCACCGACCCTCAGGTCATACGCCGAATCGCGGGAGGGCGCACAGTCTGACCGCATGCACCTCCTTGACTCCCTACAAGTTATATTGTCTATTTACTTCTGACAAGTCTCCCCCTAATGGGTATGACAACACAATGAACACGAACATGTATTCGCATTTATAATAGTACTAGCTGTTCCCGTGCGGCTTCATCCGCATGTAATTATGAAAAATGAATTTCATTGTTTATATTTGTCAAATTATCAATTTCAAATGTAAAAATGAAATGACATGATGACAACCTTGATGTTGGCAGCAACTTATGGTCTCTTTCCCACATTAGAGTTTTTATCCAAAATATTTATCACCTAAGTTTAATGGCCTTAAAATATATAGCCTAAAGTGTGACGCAAGTGTAGGGCTTTTTATTAAAAAAATAACTATTAAAAAGTATGGTGTAATTGCTGACATGTTAGGCAACAAAGAAGTGTGCGTTTACGCTTTATTATAATAGTATAGATTTACTTATCCCAGCAGCAAGCTCACTCGAGCTACCAAAGCGCGTCAAACGGCGGCGCGGCGCGCAACCTGCAGCCGCTGCCGCTGGCCCGCAGCGCCGCGCCCGCGCACGCCCCCGCGCCCGCCGCACACCCCGTCAAGAGGGACGGCATCAAGGAGTGGTACGTCTAAAATGGACCTTAACACACAACATTAAGATCACTTTTCCCGTGGCTTTATAAAGTGGACAAATCACGATTTTCTGTTTGACATCTCGTGACGGCTTTAGGACACTTAATGTAAATCGGTTTCCTATGCATTTTTATTATCTAAGTAAGCATTAAGTTATTTTAAGTTAAATAAAATTGATCTCTGTTAATTGATCTCTATTTGAATTGTAGAATTGTTTTATTTAAATTTGTTTATATTTATTGTATAAATTAATTTTATTATGTTTGGGACTAGGGGAAGAAATGTAAGACCGATTGGTCTTGTTAATAAATTTGGGACATATCAACATGAATGCTTGTCTGATAGCGTATTTGCTTAATTAAATGTTAGTACTTAACTGTGGACAATGAATGGATTTAATATCAGTTACAATATTAATTACTCTTACTTACTGCGTGTTCTTTAAAATCTAAGTACAGTAGAACCTCGATAAGTTAAAGTTTAAGGGAAACACAAGATATTTTAAGTTATAGAGGTTTTAAGTTATCAAGGGTCTATGTTGTAGAGATTTTGGACTCTGATGGGAAGGGAACATATTTTTTTTGAAGTTATACAGGTTTAAGTTATCGAGGTTCTAAAGTAATCAGAAACTTATACAACTATGAATTTAATGAATACATTTTCACAGTTATTCAATTTTAAAACTGTTACTAATGACTTATCCGATCTTATAATATTTAATACTCGGCTTGCATTCGTCACAAATCATTAGGTTAGAAATCGATCCGTGTAAGTTGAATGCTGATGCAAGAGTCTAAAGGCCTGTCCCACTGGCTGATAGAGACCCAGATAGCTTAATAATGACAGATAGGGTAACAAAATCCGATAATTCCATCATATTTTACAAGTTGGATTGTTACCAGACAATTTACAATTTGGTGAGACAGGCCCTTTAATTAGAGAAATATAGTCAATGTAAACCGACTGATAAGCGAGTGTTTAGAAATGTATATATTAACAAATATATCAGTTATGTATGTGACTCGATTTAACCATTATGACGTAATACTTAAGACCTCATGCACACTAACTAATGACAAGGCGTTTGTGTTAAAATCGCGCCATCTATTGACGGCATCCGCGAAACACATTACCTACAAACGCGATTGCTTTAGCGGTTATCTGTGCAATGTACGTGCTCTAAGGCATGGTATACACTTGGTTAATACAGTAGGCCAGTAGTGCTTAAACACTGGACTGTGAATTGAGACAGTGTGAACGATAACTGGCGACAGTAATTACTGGCCGTCGCAATGTCCAACTGTACTGGTCAAGTGTGAACCGAGCATAACATCAATTTGGAATATACCTTATGAAATTGTTGAATGGATGTCATCAAGCTATTCTACTTTTATCAGTGCTTTAATTTAATAATAATTATTAATATTTGTTATATTTTTACTACTGGCAACCTCGATTTATTGAGTAAAACAGTATTATAACAGATAAAGCTGCCCGCACTGAAAATGAAGCATATCGTTCAATTAAAGACTAGTAAGTTTACGATTTAAAATTCTCTTTCCTATATAAAATAGATCTTATACAAAATATTTTTACGGAATAGCTGGCGTGAGGATTAGGCGAGTTAGGGATACTCGATTAAGTACGCTTGGTATAGGCAGGTTTGTGTAGGACGCGTTCCCGGCAAATGAGCTTGTAGGTATGGAAAGGAAAGTCATCTCCCATCTTCAACCATTGCTCAACAGTTTTCCCTTTGGCTTTTCAAATTTCTCCTATTTGTCTAGAGGCCTAATCAAATGAAACCCTGTGCGGTTAACTATAAAAATATATCCGCATAGTTCGTATAGTAATTGTAAATAATTCATTAATAGTAGAAACCAAAAAAAAAAAACAGAATGTATAACTAATTTTAGGATAATATCAAGATTCGTCATACTACTAATAAAGCAACCAGTATAGTTGCAAGTTACCTTGATGTATTTTGACGCATTTCTGACGGAATGCCTCAAGGTACTATCTTTGGCCCGCTTCATTACAATAATAGATTTGTGATGTTGAAAATAATTCTAAAGCCTCTAAAATTGAAATGCATGCTGTTTTCCCTTTAATTCGTAAACCTTGAAATGCTTATATTTGTACTATTAGATACTACATCCACCGTCCCGTTTTCCTCTTTCCGAATAAAATCTTCTCCTAGCTTTAAATTAAGATGGAAATGTCATATTTATATAGATTGTTATAAAGCACAGGTTCTAGGTATTCGAAGGTTGCATTTATTGTATTATATAGTTAATAATTATCCTAAATGTAAGCGGTAACGTACGGTGTAGACACACTCGTTTTACGGCACAAAATGTTAGTCAACAGTTTGTTTGTCTGTCAATTTTAGTGTTAAATATTAATGTTTAATGTGTAATTATTTATACCGGAACAGTCTGTCTGATAATATCGTATATTTTCTACATATTTGCAATTATTTAAATAATTTTATACATAGTTCAGTTATAAAATGCCAGCACAATAAACCCCGTTCAGTTTTTTCAATTGAAAACACACTTGTTATATTTTGTTTTCGAACATCCTGTAATATGTAGAAAATGTACGCATTTAATTATTGTTTTTGTTTCCACAGTGTCATCTCAAATTGTACAGTCGACGCCATTCTTACCGAGTTTTGTTTATGTGTAAAGCAGTTTTTTGAATAAAGTATTATTGTGTAAATTGAATATTGGTTTTATTACAACCTCGAAACTATCATAAGTAAAAAAAATTTAAGAATTTGAAGCAGATAATAAAGGGGAGATTTTAGACATTATCTACCATTTCCCATGACAATATAATTCATATTTAAATCAACTGCCAATAGATGTCACTATATAATATTTAAATGTTCATGACATTTTTCGACATATAGTTTAATTTTATAACAAAAGATGGAGCTTTATTAAAATGTTTCATTACATGTCAATACGAAGACGCTAGATGGCGCTAAACTTTACTTTGTTACCTTTCAGAGAAAGTACCAGTGATTTTTTTTTATTTACTACGCCTAGTTTATATATATTAAATGTCTTTGATCATCTGTTTAAAATCTGATACGGCTTTTTAATTCTTTGAACCCAATATTACGGAACGATATTTCTGATGAAGTTTTAGTATTTTAATTCTGAATCCATTGACTGGGCTTTTTTTCTAAAACTGGTGATTAAACTCATCTTATCTATTGAAAATATTTCCTCTTAGCATGTCTATACATTTTCTTGATACTTGTGAGTAAAAAGCAACGTATCACTTAAATACTTAAAAACTTAAAAAACTTACTTAAATACTTAAAAAAAAAATAAAATTTTAAAGTACACTGAACAATTGTTTGTTGATTAAAGAATGTTGAACAAAGAACATTTGAATGAAAATGCGACATATTTTTTTTTAAATTTCAATATTAAAGTTACATTTTTAAAAAGAAATCCATCATTTTCTATAATCACGGTAATTATGGTTCAAGACGATTTGTTAAAGTTCATATTCTTGATACGATTTATGATTGATTGCTGTTGTATTTACTTTTAAAATGTCAAAACAATGATTTAAAATTACTGTGTCAGAAGTTTGAAACATTTTATGAAAACAAATATTATCTACTAGCTTTCGCCTGCGACTCTGTCCGCGCGGAATAAAAAAAATCAAATGCGAGTAGCCTATGTGTTTTTCCAGACTATCCTCTACATCTGTGCCAAATTTCATCGATATCCCTTCCGCCCGTTTAGGCTACAAATCAAACAAACATCCATCCATCCATCTAAACTTTCGCATTTATAATATTAGTATAATATGATTAACAGTTTATTTTTTGAGGATATATTACTTATAGAAATGTAACAAATAAATTCGTCTTTGCAACATGAATTTAATGTAGTAAGTTGTTACACGGAAGTTAAAGTCTAAATCACATTGATTCCGAAATTACTGTATTTTTTTGTTTAACAATCATTTACATTATTCTTTATTACAAATATTACAGTAAATAAATACGAAATAGCAGTGAGATATGTGATATTACTTCAGTAAGTTACAATGCTACCGTGTAATATCAAAACGTAATCCCAAAAACATATTTTTAATACGGTAAAAATGAAATACGGAAAGAAAATGTGATTAACCCCGACGTGAAACCGCTTATAAAGGAAGGTAAAAAGTAATGTGGAATCTCATTCACGAGGCGCCTCCACAAGTCGGAGCTTATAATGACGTGTGACGGAAATTCGCTTCGTTACTTATTTCTCTACACTTTTGTTCTTATGACGTTCGCTGAAAATTCACTACTAATGACCAGCGAGAATTTTAGTCAAACAGCAAAAAGCGCTGAATGCGTTTTAAAATTGTCTGCAAAATATTTCGTGGAGAAAAAAGCTTTAAGCGGCAGTATCGTTATAATCAATATCAACTCTTATGCATCTACGACACAGAGTTTATTGTTGCAGACCATCAATGCTGGGATGAAATATTCAGTAATGGTAAAAGATTCTATCTTCCCGCATGCTAACGCAACGCATTTCCCAGAGAAAGCGAAGAATTATATGTTAATTTTAGAAGACAAATCGGAATTGACGAGGAATATATTACAAGTACATCAGTTACCTTCCTGGAATCCACTCGCTAAAGCCTTAGTATACTATCAGCTCCGGACTGGAGAAGACAGCGATGTCGCGATAGATTTTATTAATGAACTTCGAAGTTATAAACTACTCAAGAGCATTGTATTATTACATAATGATACAGAAGATGAAGTTATTTCTTATTCTTGGAAACCTTACACAGATACAAATTGCGGAGGTAAATGCGATTCTGTGTATATACTTGATAGATGTAGGGATGTGAATTTTGAGGAAATCGAGCAATTGAGAAATATAATTCCCATAGATATGAAAGGTTGTCCTTTGATTGTTCACGCTATCGTAGCGGAACCCTACGTTATGAGTCCGACAAGAAAGATTTCTCAGTATGCTGATATTTATGAATTTGATAAAGGCGGAGAAGTCAACTTAGTAAAAATAATAGCAGAGTTCACCAATATGAGTCTTTACATGTTTATGTCGGAGCAAGAAGAAAATTGGGGCACAATAAACAAAAACGGTACAGCGACAGGGGCGTATGCTTTGTTAAGAAATGAATCGATAGATCTAATGATAGGTAATATAGAAGTGACCCGAAGGTTACGTAAATGGTTCCATCCCACAACAAGCTACACACAGGATGAAATGACATGGTGTGTGCCGAGAGCACAGAAAGCTGCAACATGGGACAATCTGTTGATAATTTTCCAATGGCCGACGTGGGTCGCTATGTTTTTGGGCTTGATTATAATGGGTTCATTATTTCATATTTTCTATCGCAATGAAAATTTAAAGCCCGTATCTATTGTTCGATCAATTTTGGTTACATTTAATATGCTTTTGGGCTGGACTGTATCGTTTAAACCGAAAAGCACAATGTTCCGTATTTTAGTATTCAGTTGGGTATTTTTTAGTATGAATATGGCGATCTCCTACGAGTCTCTACTGCGCAGTTTCTTAATGCATCCACGTTTCGAGAAGCAGATAAGCGCGGAATCTGAATTGATACGATCTGGTATATCGTTTGGCGGCAGAGAGATTTATCGTTCCTATTTCGAGTTGAATAATTCGAACTCGCCCTATTTATTTAATAATTATGAGGTCAAAACATACTCTGAGGGTGTGCGACGTGCTGCACTCGACCGGGACTTCGCAGTAGTAGCTTCTAGAAGACAAGCTGAGTACCAGGATCAAAATTTAGGTAAAGGAACAAGTTACATTTATTGTTTTCCAGAAAGTGATAATCTATATAAATATAGTGTGGTACTTTTAGCGAGGAAATGGTTTCCGATACTCGATCGGTTTAATAGTATTATACGAAGCGTCACAGAGAACGGACTCATAGAAAAATGGAACAGGGAATTATTTATTCATCGGCCGAGTGTAGAAAGCGTGGGAACAATACTTCCGTTAAGTATTCAACATCTGTTAGGTGCTTTTGCATTTATTGGTCTTATGTATGTACTTAGTACCTTAGTATTTTTCGGAGAATTAGCATTGGGATATATCGAGAGACGGAAAGCAACTAAAGTCTATCCATTTAAAGGGTAATCGACTGTTACAGCTTCAGCATATACCTACATATGTCTAGTAGTGTGTTGTGGCACAGTTAGAAGAAGAAATTATAAAACACATAGTTGTTTGTTATGATTGATTTTATTTAACACTAGCTTTTGCCCGCGACTCCGACCGCGTGGAATTAAAAACAAAATAAAAAATCAGTTGTCTATGTATTTTTCCAGACTATCCTCTACATCTATACCAAATTTCATCTAAATCCGTTCAGTCGTGTAGGCTACAAACTCTAATAAACATTCATCCATCCATCTAAACTTTCGTATTTATAATATAAGTAAGAAGTAATATTATCGATTTCAAATAAACAATACATTTATAATGTTAATTTAAATTTCCTCATGTCTATCTCAGTGTAGAGAATAAGAGGAAGCGTTAGGTGAAATCTAGTGAATTACTTCAATTATACCAACGAAAACCACACGCTGAATATCAATGTGGATAACAAAATGAACCATAACATACCTTATTCTATTAGAATAAAGTTTCAAATCATTTGATACAACTGAACTGAAGGAAATATCGCGCTGTTACTAATTACGTGTTCACGTATTGTGCATTAGGATGTCAGTGTTACACTCAGAGAAGTACATTATTAATTGATTATTATTTCGATATATAAACATAACCTCATTCTCTTACATTACGAGAACATGTTTATAGCATATTATATTCTCACGTTGTATTGATTGTATGCAGGTAAGAATATTATTGGTGGTTTTTGCACGCGTATTTGTCCGCACGGAAATAAAAAATCAAGCAATAAATAAAGCCAATTTAATTATTGATAATATAGCTTTCTAATGACAAAAGAATTTTTTTAAATCGGTACAATACAATGCGTAATTTTTGTGCAAAGATACATTTTTTCCATTTACTCGTGAATGATAATTCACTCTTAGATGTTCTTAACTCTATATTACTCTTTACTTAAACAACAAATTATATCAAACTAGCAGTTCTCATGCGACTTCATCCGCATAAAATTGTAAAAATTTCATTTTATTGTTCACATTTGCCAAATTATCAAATGCAAATGTCAAAATGACATGACATGACAAACCTCGTCAATCTTCCTTCCGTGATGTTGGCAGCAACTTATGGTCTCTTTCCCACATTAGGGTTTTGATCCAAAATATTTACCCCTAAGTTTAACGGCGTGAAAATATATAGCCTCAAGCGTGACGTAAGTGTAGGGCTTTTTATTAAAAAAAGAGTTATTCGAAAATATGCTGTGATTCTGACATCTTAGGCAACAAATAAGTGTGTGTTTACGCTTTATTATAATAGTATAGATAGAAGTTGGGCAGCCCAAATAACCTTAAAAATATAAACCATATGTTACACGTCCACGTATATAAATAATATAGTAAATATTAAAGTTAAAGCGTAACTGCAAAGGAAAGCTGCAGTTAGCCGTTAAACTGAAGCAGTTTAGCTTCGGTCGTCAATATACCGTGCGTTCATTAAGAGCACGTGGCGCGTTTTGAATAACATCAACGAACACTTCGCAGACCTACGGAGCACACCTATTATACAAAATATAGCATCCCATTTTCACTAACTACTCCTGAGGGAGCGCGATGTTCAAACAAATTTCGATAGAACGTATCGGAACGGTAATATTTTGTCAAGCTTCATGAGCTTAAGATCACTTAAAAAAGATCCAACAGCAGGGGTGCCAAACATTTATCATTGAATCAGTGTCATTTTTTTTAAAGAAATGTTTAGTGCAGTCTATACAAACAATGGAATAATTTTGACTGCGATTAATACATCAATTCCACGGTACACCTAGTTCATATTTTTTTCGTAGTGTTTTTATGATAATGGACGTGCCCAAAATAATGTGTCGCGGGCCAGTGGTTTGCCACCCCTGTCGTATAGTATGAAATTACGACTACCATATCTAAAGTTGTCGACTTTAAACAAAAAGGAACTCAGAGTAGGAGAATAGAAAGGGAAAAGAGAAAGGAGATGTTTAGGCTAAACGTGTAAGAGCGTATATAGAGCCGAAGATAGGGGTTGATCAACCGCCCTGGGCGCTGAAAGTAAAAGGGCGCCGCAGTTTTACGAATCACACAAACATAACCTAGTTAACAATCCTCAGAAATCTTCTTCTTCACTAAAACGTATATTCTAATGTCCTTAGTTTTCAAGGCTTCTTATATGTGTTTTATTTAGTGGTCACACTCGAACTCGTCTGTTATAAAGACCACACGTGTGTAAGATGCGGCTACGTTATTGTTGTTCTCCAATAGATCGAGCGCTTTGTTCCCAGCGTCAGGTACAGATGAGGGGAGGTAAATCGTTACAGAGGTGAACTATTAATATATTTAGTGAGTGTATCAGTTGGTTATTTTAATTGGATTTTGATTATATCTTAATGATAACGTAGCGGAAATGACATAAATGTAATAGAGTACTTCGTCTAGTTCTGTATTTTTATGTCTTTCACTTTTTCTCTGTCCGACATTACTAGAGTATGGAAGGTTGATATTTGTGAAAAATTATACACCAGAAAGGATATTTCTTCTCCCTATGCGTTCTCACCTCCGTCAAATTAACCATCTCTTCCTACTGTTTCCTTATGAATGGGGAGAGAAGGGACAGAATTAAGTCTCCACCATACATATCTTTCGATGAAACGCGGAATGATTTGCACTTCACGCTTATCTTTTGTGCTTGCCGGCTTGCCCCTGGTATTACTAC